CGGGCGGGCCTTCAGTGCTCAAGGTCAACTTGCACCGCGAACAGCTCCAGAATTTTAGCTAAAAATGACGAAATGTGCGGTAAATGAGTGTACAAAGACGTCAGACAAACATAAAATAGATGCTAACATCACATTCCACAAGGAAGTAACACGTTTCAACTTGTATTTTTATATAAATATTCACTAAATCCGAAAATTAATTTCGTTGCAACAAGACACGAAAATGTTGCAAAGTAACGGATTCCTTTCTCCCAATTTTGCTATTCTGTTTCAAAATAATTATACAATGTCGGGCAAATCTGTAGGCACCTTTAACTAATGATGAGTTAAGCAAAATACAATTTCCCCACTTTTGAGGGAAATGTTATTCCATGGCATCATTATTTGTATAGTAGTGTGCATGCCAACGAGCTTAGATACAAGTTGCTTACGCCTACATGAATTTGATTTTTACCTCACTTGTGACAGTTCGTTTGATATGAAACTATCATCTATGCGTTATTATTCTAAGTTTACAACTAGTATTGCAAGGGGTAGCTGATTGAAAAGTTTTAATAAAACGAAAGTAAAAATGTTTACTTAATATGTCGTCAATTCGAAACTGCTTTGTTTTGCATTGATCTTCGACGCGAGTTTGCCGGGGGTAGAAGCTGGACAGCGATCCTGTATCGTATTAGATTTCATTTAAAAAAATTTGAAATTTCAAAAAACAAATGCCGAATTGTATCGTAAAATTATACATTCATAAATTTTGCTGCACCTCACCATTGACAACAATGTATATATTAACTCCTTCAACGTAGTTATGAATTAATATGAAACCTGATGAGCGGACAAACGTTAAAACGGCCATCATAGCGTGCAGGTACTATAGCCGCGTTTTAGTTACTGGACGGCAGAAGAGCTCGAGTGTATTGGCTCGTTTTAGTCCCTTGATAAAAATATACTATTATTTTATTGTTTTTTATGACGTTGGTACGCTAGCGACACTATATAACAAATTTTCAAAAGGATTCTGTTTCTGGTTTGACAGTAATGGTTTCTGGTTAACTACGTACATGTTACGTAGAAACGAATAGCTATACCTACTCCAGAAATTTGTTTTTGCGGCTATCAAAGTGGTATTAGCTGTACTCCGTTTCAATCCATTTTGTACAAAAAGTAAACAAACAAGTCAATGACTGATGATTTAGTGATGGCCAATGGCAATGCCAACTACAGATCAATTAATTAATTGAATGAATCGATTTGTTTAATTGAGTCATACTAGCGGTTTTCCTTACATAACCTATAAAAGCATATTTAAAATTTCCGAAATCTTAATTTTAAATTCTCCTTCAAATTCTTACACTTAGATACTCGTTCAATTGCGATTAAAATTTTCGATTTACTCATCGATTACAAAACTTTAATTGAATGAACCGAATGTTTGTTTTCGTACAGCACGATGCATCCATAAACAAGTCATAGTTGTATAGTTGAAAAATAACCTCACTTTTGGATTACCATTTTTCAAATACGACTTTACGATGAATATTGTTGGAAATAGTGACGAGATATCAAGTAGAAATCTCCGAAATTTACGTGAAAGTCTTACTTATCCGATTTAGAATTTTAACAAAATAGTTTTGTTTACTTTTAGTTTAACATGGATTGGAACAGACTTTACCTGTTTACATAGCTACATTTCTAGGGTCGTTGTCAACAATTTGTAGATTTTTAGTTGAAATATGATGATAATATCTTTAATGATCCACAAAAGCAATTTTTTTGCAGGGAAATACAGATTTTTCATGTTTTTCAGAAACAATAATTAGTAATTAAATTTATTGAATGTCAGAATGTTTTACCACCATGGTATTCAATTCTTTTTTGTGAAATTACTCCACTAGTTTTACAAAGATCGAACACAGAAAAAATTCCTTCACTTCCGCTGAATTCGAATCAAAATCTTCCAGCAAACCATGCCAGACGCTATGCCAACTAAGCCACGGAACGAACCAGCAGCGGCCCTCACGATTTTTCTATGTGCTTGTTGTCGGTTCTTTGTATTTGGTTTTCAATATTATGATGAGAAAACATTCGGACGTTCACACTTAATTACAATTATTAAAGCGACATCTTTAGTCAGCTGCTGGTAGCTGTAAAGGTGTACCGGTAGCACAATATAAATATAATTCTATTGACTAATCCATTACAAATGAATGATGAGTATTAAGTAGACACCCTAAAAGGGCCGAGTTATACTGAACTACAGATTGATACTAAAATCGGCACATTAGTAGTAGCTATTACAAATCTGGTAAAGGAATCAAAATTAGACGTAATTGAAATTTAGACAGCATTGTTGCTCTCGCGTTCGAGCAGGGAGTGACGATTGAACGAAACAAAATCAGAATGGCAAGACAAAAGAATGATTAAAGAACGATTCAAAATTTAAAAACGAGTGGCCTGAAACCGGAGAAAAGGCGATAAAAAGGTAGGATGACGATTTAAGGAGGTCACGCCGTCTCAAAGGTACCGACTGAGTCACCGGTTGAGTGAAGAAATAGATTTCTCACAGAAGGCGTGTGGCAAAAAAAAATTGGTAAAAGCCATAACAAAGATCTGCAACAAGCACATAGAAAAGTCCACTGGTTACTACCATGACAGTGTTGCAATTTTCACATTTTTGAAAAAAAAACACAGCGCCCTGATATTTTTTCTAAATTTGGTTTTTTTTTATTCAGAAAAAGTGAAATGGAATAACAGAAATAAATCGCTCTTAGATAAATAAATAAGTAGTGTTTTTATCAGTTACCACCAAAGTAGCGATGCAACTGCAATCGATAGATTAAAAAAAAAGGGAAAGTCTATCTAAAGGGAAAGCGTCAATCTCACAAAATGCCCAAATGGAGTTGAAATTCTCCGCAATTTGGGGAATTCGCCACAAATTGACGACACTGTGAGTGTTGCCCATTCATATTGAGTAATGTATCTATGAAGAATAATATTAACAACAAAAGAGGAGATGTAGTAAAAAAAATACAATTGTCATATTATCATATTTTTATTTTCTTGCTTTTAGAAAAAAAGTACTCAAGAAAAAAAAAACGGTTTCTTTTCATGTTTTTTTTTCATTTTTTTTTGCACCTCAGAGAAAATACGCTACTTCCGTGGCTTAGTTGGCATAGCATCTGTAACTATTTGCTAGAAGACTTTGGTTCGAATCCAGCCGGATCGAAGGTATTTTTTCTGTGTTCGATCTTTGTATTAATAATTATAACAATAAACGTCTTACATGGTGCAATGATTCTTGCATATCGTAATAAATTTGTTTCAACTAAAAGAAATTGGACAACCGGTTATTTTAATAAGTTTTTAGATACATCTCTATTTTATTGAATAGATTAAAAAACTCGCAGTAGCTCTGAAAGCAATAAACTTCCTATTAAAGTTTGTGTAAAAAATATTTAAACGGACCATATAGAAGTAGTAAATAAATTGAGTGTACATTTTTAATAATGATTCTAATAAACAAATTGTATAATTATAAAAATGTTTAGGAAGAAATAACTAATTTAAGGAATAAATAAAGATCGTGTGATAAAAATTAAAAATTTGTTTTATATTTTTTGTCAACTAAACAATATTTTGTAGTTTCACTTCTGGGGGCCTACTACGACCTTTTATTGTTCAGAACTCTTCGATATTTTAACCGAATCGATCGATTGGATGTCGTTCTCGAATGTCGTTATCCATCAGCGTTTACGGAGTTGTTCGGTGAAATAGATTATAAAAAAAGAGATCCTTTTATATAAAAATAAAATTGAACAAAATCCAGACTTTACTTAAAATAAACAACAGTACGTTCGGTAACTTTCATTCGATAACTGTGTTGTGAATAACGTTTATAGCCTTTGCCGGATGTGACGGCATTTCGGTTCGATTTCTAATAGGGTAAAACCGGGTTTTTTTAAACTTTTTGAAAGGGCCTCCTAATTTAAAAATTATTAGTTTACCATGAATAATTCCTATGGATATAACTAGTTCAATCTTTTATATTACACTAAGACTTGATTTTATTGATCTAACATTTACTGATTTTGAAGAAATTGACTTTTTGCAAACCTATTTTTTGAGGATAGATGCCTACCTATATGGATAGACGCCACACGATGAAAATACTAAGAAGGATACATGCTCTTTAGATTAAAATATAAAATTCATAATAAAATGTTTTATTTGTAATCTTTAATACATTGTATATTCATATTACATCTTTAATAATAAACATATAAGTATTTAAAGTTACTACCTACTTCACTTCGTATTTTTGTAGCTATCAAAGCATTCTACACAAAAATGTTCGCTGTTTGAACTATGAATAATTTGTCTTTAAACTACTTTTACTTACTTTTAAACTATTATCATTTATCTGTCTTTTTCACTAAAATAATGCATTTTATTATTTTCTTTTCCTAACTTTCTTGTCTTTTCCTATACCGCGAAAAATCGAGGCGACTATCCTGTTCGATATGGATAGATGCCCTTTTATTATTTAACTAAGCTATATACAAACGAGCGATTATTGACACCTAGGTGCGCAGTTAATGAACCAGTGTATAGTTATAATAAAAATAAAACGGAATTTATCATAACTTACAAAGTTATGCAACAGTAAATTACCTTACTTAAAACCTTACTGAAATTTT